TACCCCAGGTGCGCCCAGGTGTATCCCAGATACATCCCACGTACCCCAGGTGCCCCCAGGTGTGCCCAGCTCCGCCCCGGGTGCCCCGCCCAGGTGTGCCCAGGTGCGCTCACCCCGGAAGTACCCCCCGTAGGCGCCCTGGCGCTGGTCGAGGACGCGCTCGTTGTTCTCCACCAGGTTGCCCAGTTTCTCGGCCAACTGCAGCGCCAGGTTCTGCGTCGCCGTCGGCTCCGTCCGGTGCATCATCACCGTCGCCGTCGGCTGGTCCAGCGAGGCCTGGCCCGGGAGGGGGGGCGTGGCCAGGTGAGCCCCGCCCACACCTGGGTCACACCTGTGCCACAGGTAACCCCGGAACCGCCCCCCGACCACACCTTGTGACTGTCCCACACTCGGCTCGAGGTGATTCACTCTGGTTTCTGGTTGGTCCAGAAACACTGAGGGAGGGTGTGGTCAGGTGAGCCCCGCCCACACCTGGGGCACACCTGTGCCACAGGTAACCCCGGAACTGCCCCGCGATCACCCCACGTGTGTCTCAAGATGCTCCTCCCACCCCTTCTCTCCGAGCTCTCGTTGGTCCAGGGACAACAGGGGGCGTGGCCAGGTGAGCTCCGCCCACACCTGGGGCACACCTGTACCACAGGTAACCCCAGAACCACCCGAAACCTGCCCAAAACTACCCCACACCTGTGCCAAAATGCTCCTCCTCCCCCTTCTCTCTGGTTGGTCCAGGGACACCTCGAGGGCGTGGTCAGGTGAGCCACACCCACCTCAGCCCCACACCTTGCCCCACAGGTAACCCCAGAACCACCCCAAACCTGCCCCAAATCTCCCCAATTTCCCCACCCTTTGCCCCTCCCTCACCTGCCCTGCCCAGACCATGCCCTCCCCAGACCACGCCCTCCCCAGGCCATGCCCCCCTCACCATGAGCTCCTCCCCGATGATCATCTTGCTGATGATGCCGTGCACCGTGGGCAGGTCCAGCTCAAACATGGCTGCCAGTGTCTCCATGCTAATGAGGGAGGGTGGGCGGGGTCACTGGAGCCACGCCCAGCACACCTGGGCCACGCCCACCTCACCTGGGAGCTGCCACGCCCACCCCAAACCCAGCCCAGGTGAGCAGCTGCAGCTCAAATATGGCTGCCTATGCTAATGAGGGAGGGTGGGTGGAGTCACTGGAGCCACGCCCACATCACCTGGGCCACGCCCTGCTCACCTGGGCCACGCCCAGGTCACCTGGGAGCAGCCACGCCCACCCCCAACCCCGCCCAGGTGAACAATTGTAATTCAAATATGGCCGCCTATGCTAATGAGGAGAGGTGGGTGTGGTCAGAGGGGCCACGCCCACCACACCTGGGCACGGCCACGCCCCCAGGTCACGCCCCCCCCCGGTACCTGATGGAGTCGTAGACGCTGCTGTAGGTGAACAGGTACGTGCGGAGGGACTCCTCCTGGATCTTCCTGTGGGGGGACCACAGTGACCACTGAGTGACCACTGACCACAGAGTGACCACTGAGTGACCACGGAGTGACCACTGACCACAGAGCGACCACTGACCACAGAGTGACCACTAAGTGACCGAAGAGTGACCACGGAGTGACCAGAGAGTGACCACTGAATGACCACAGAATGACTACGGAGTGACCACTGAGTGACCAC